TCTATTTACAGTTATAGTAAAAGCAACAAATGGTCCACGTTACGTTGTCGGTTGTCGTCGTCAACTTGATAAAAATAAATTAAAATCTGGAACAAGAGTAGCTCTTGACATGACTACACTTACTATAATGCGTTATTTGCCTCGTGAGGTAAAATTGATTTTATTAAAGATTATGATTTTATTTATAAAATAAATCTTGAATGTTTCTTGATCTATTTAGGTTGATCCATTGGTTTATAATATGTCACATGAAGATCCTGGTGATGTTACATATAGTGCAATTGGTGGTCTAGGTGAACAAATTCGTGAACTAAGAGAAGTTATAGAATTACCATTGCTAAATCCTGAATTATTTCAAAGAGTGGGTATAACACCACCAAAAGGATGCCTCTTGTATGGTCCACCAGGAACTGGAAAAACATTATTGGCCAGAGCAGTTGCTAGTCAGTTAGATGCAAACTTCTTAAAAGTTGTATCAAGTGCTATTGTTGACAAATATATTGGGGAATCAGCAAGGCTGATCAGAGAAATGTTTAATTATGCACGCGATCATCAACCTTGTATCATATTTATGGATGAAATTGATGCAATTGGTATGAACATTACTGTTTGTTAAAGAAGGGAAAAAAGAAAACTTTCTTTAATGAAACACTTTTGCATAGGTGGACGTAGATTTTCCGAAGGTACAAGCGCTGATCGAGAAATTCAAAGAACTTTGATGGAATTGTTAAATCAAATGGATGGTTTTGATTCTTTGGGCCAAGTTAAAATGATAATGGCTACAAACAGACCAGATACATTAGATCCAGCTTTATTAAGACCGGGAAGATTAGACAGAAAAATTGAAATCCCGTTACCGAACGAACAAGCACGTTTAGAAATTTTGAAGATTCATGCTGCCCCTATATCTAAGCATGGAGAAATTGGTACTTTTTATCTTTAGATTTTGTTACATTTTTCCCTTTATTTTATACACGTTTCTAGTAATTTTAAATTCAATTTAGATTATGAAGCAGTGGTAAAACTTTCGGATGGATTCAATGGAGCTGATTTAAGAAATGTCTGCACCGAGGCAGGATTATTTGCTATAAGATTAGAAAGAGAATATGTAATACAAGAAGATTTTATGAAAGCAGTGAGGAAAGTGTCGGATAATAAGAAACTTGAATCTAAATTTGATTATAAACCTGTTTAATTAATATTTATCGATTATATTGAATTTAAAACTCAATTCATTCACTCAACAGTGGGTGGGTTAATAAAACAAATTTACTTTATTATGATGCTATTTGTATTTTATAATAAAAATAATATTTCTAGATGCTTTAACAAATATTATACGTGAAACTTCTGTGAAATCATTTGTTCTAAATTCAATGTTATTTTACACAATTGCATTTTAGTTTTATTACAAAACAATACAACTTCCTTTATGTTATATATTACTAATTACATATCATATGTTTGCAAGACGTGTTTTTTTCCTTTGCAAGTATTCCTGTACATTGTCATATTTTCTTTTATACAAAATTGAAAATAAATTTTGTTGGATAGCATCTCTTCTTAATGTTTTCCAGAAACTATTTAATTTGTTAATTTTAGAGTTCATTACATCACTTAGTACAAATCTATTATTTTTAAATTCATATACTTTGAATCCAGTATCATTCAATAACCATAAATTACCTTTATAAAGATAGCATTCTATTGGTTCACCATTTGTAATTATAGATTGTAAATACGTTGCTTCAAAATTTGATTTTGATATGCCACTAATTATATACACCAACAAAAATGAATTATTATAAAAGCTCATTACAGCTAATGATGAACTTTCATTGAGTGCTAAAAGCTTTAAGTGTTTAACAGGTAAAACTTCAACAGTTTCTTCTAAATGACAATCTTGAAGTTGTAGATTGAACTTTTCAATATCACTGGTAGATATTTTACTACAAAAATCAATAGATAATAATTCTTTTCCAATCCTATAGTCCCATAGTATAAATGTACCATCTCCTCCACAAGACATTAAAACATTTTTGTCATGAGGCAATTCCAAAATGTTTGTTACAAATTTTCTATGTCCTAAACAATAAGATACAATATTGTATGAATTTGGAAACATAGACACTCTAATCTTTTCATCTCTGTCTGTTGTAATAATATATTTTTCATCTTCAGTAATTAACACATCAAGTAACATTGATAGATGTCCTAAAAGTAATACTCCATTATCCAACTGCTTATTAGAAAAAAGGTAAACATCTCCTGTTTTATCAGCAACAACTATGTCATTATTTGGAGTAAACTGCACTTTACTGGCAGCTCTTGGAAGTACTTTATTTGACAAAATATTCTGAGTTTTTGTTTCATATAGACATAGTTGCTTACGATTTGTACAGACAAAAAAGTATTTCCCATCATTCGAAAACGTCACGTTCGTGATCGTGTGAAATGTTTCGATGTTTACGTTGTTATGTACATCAATTTTTTTGTCAGTCTGCAATTCAGGTAAATGAATTGTTGTTTCTGTATCATTTTCAATATTATATATTATAATTTGTTCATTATTGCATAAAGCAATGTCTAATTCATATATACAGAAACTCATAATTAAGGCACGGATTTTTGTGAACGAAATATGTGAATAATTTCAATCGCAACCGTGTATTTTCTGCATGAATAGTCACATGCAATTCGTATATTTAAACAAAATACATTAGTACATATATAATATACTATAACATTGCAAGACTGCAATAAAAGAAATCCATTTTTCCACTGTCCCTCACATGTACTAATTCTTGAGAGATCAAAAAAATCGTCAAACTCCGGCGCACGTGAAACTACATGTGCAGGACACGCTGCATGTTAATGAAAAACTATATAGAAACACTACCAACCCTTAACAAAGAAATTATGAGTGCACCAAAATTCACTATTTTTTAGAAATAAAATTAAAGAAGTTTAAAAATATTATTCGTTATTAAGTTACGTGTATTCTACCAACATCGTCGCAATTGTAGATACGATCATATTGTATAGCTGTCATTATCTTTGACTTCTGATAAGAATTCAAACAAAGATGCTGATTTATCGCGCGAATAACATGTTTTTCAAGCATTATCCTTTGTGCAATAAGATGATATAGATATATGTCATGGTTTAAGCAAACAATGAGAATCAAAATATACAAAAGAACTTTTGTTACGATATGTGCTATTAATACAAAAGGTAGACGCATTTTATAAACATTTCTTTTTGGTTTACATATTCTTCTTGGATGTTTAAACAGCTGGACGAGTGATTTCCGTGTTATTGCAATTATAAATATTTTTTTAAAAAGATTCCAGCTTGAAGATTTTGCATTTATAAACTGTTATATTAAGAAAAGTGAGGTGAAAATATACATTTCGATATGTGGAAGCCGTTTGAAGCTGGTAGTTCGCCAGTTGACTGGTGCGAACGTAATTATAGCATCTCTTCTAGTATCGCAGAATTTATGAATACGGTTTGTATTTTACAGTGATGAGAAGAAATAAAAAATTGTTTTGTAATAAGGAAATTAATATATTTTTATTTACAGTTGAGTAATGTAGTATTTTTATTACTTCCTCCTGTTCTCATGCATCTCTTCAGAGATTATGGTCGTTTTGTGAATCCAGGGATTCATGTAATTTGGTTCTTACTAATGATAGTAGGTCTTAGCAGTGCATATTTTCATGCTACTCTATCTCTTATAGGTAAGTAATAAAATATCACAGATTTATGGAATACGAATAAAGGGCAGTATTATTATTTTATAATAGGACAATTGTTAGATGAATTGGCAATTTTATGGGTGTATATGGCTGGTTTTTGTATGTTTTTTCCAAGAAGATATTTTCCAAATATTTTACACAATGATAGAAAACTTCTAGCAGTATGTGCAGCTTTACCAACTCTAATTGCAACTGGTTTATCATTTATACATCCTGCAGTAAATGCATTTGCTTTAATGAGTCTTGGTATACCTGCATTTGGATTTATGATCATTGAATTAAAAAGGTAAAATTCTTAATTATTGTCTGTATAACATTTTATGATGTAATTTCTAATTACATCATCATGCATGCTTTTCTTAAGGACTACCTCAATGAGGGTTTATAGATTGGGTTTACGATGTGGTGCTGTATGGTTATTAGCAGTTGCTTGCTGGCTAAATGATCGTTTATTTTGTGATACTTGGCTGAACCTGAATTTCCCTTATTTACATGCACTTTGGCATTTGTTTATTTTCATTGCAAGTTACACAGCAGCTGTACTTTTTGCATATTTTTCTGTAAAAGAAGAAAAACCACAGCAATCACCAGTACTAAAGTATTGGCCAAAGGATGACTTTGAACTTGGTATACCATATGTAACTATTAAAAGTTACATTAAACTTGATATTCATACAAATATATAATTATTCACATGAATATGATAAAGGCTGATTTGCATTTATCAAATTATAATCAGTGATTTCAGATATAATATGCAATTTACTTTGCTTACTGAAAGAATTTAACTTTGTACTAATGTTTTGAGGAAAAAGAAACATATTTTACATTTATCTACCTTACATAGGAAATAGATATTTCTTTCTTAAATTTGTGATACTAGCTATTACTTTTTGTACAAATATATGTGATTAACAAATTATTAAGATATCTGTAAAGGTGCAGTATTGAAATAGTGTACAAAAGTATTTATTCTCTTGACAAATATCAATCAATATTGTAATATATTTGTGTATTGAAAAAAAGAAGAATGAATGTAATATGGATTTAGAATGTTTTTTTATTACCTTGTTTCACCTAAATAAATAAATTTTGTACACTTATAATGTCAACTAAGCACAAGGCATTCATTTTTTGGAAAACATCTTTATTATATTTCTGGCTTTTCATAAAATAAACTTTAACAAATTTTACATTTTTAAAAAATACAAATTTTGAGATTGTGCAAGTTAACCATCTAGTTCTCCTCCATAAATAACAATATTTTTATCAGTTTCATAGATCTTAACTGTATACAAAAGATCTGGATTTGGCATTATTTTTTTCAATTCATTAAAAATATAAATGGCCACATTTTCAGTAGTAGAAACAACATTTTTAAAATAAGGTACATCCTTATCTAAATTCTTATGGTCCAATTGATCCATCAACACTTTCTTCATGTATAATTTTAAATCTGATATATTCATGACCATACCTGTTACAGAATCCACAGGTCCACATACAGTAACTTCAACTGAAATAAAACAAAATGTTATGAGAATTTGTACATTTCAATAAAGCAATAATAATTACCTGTATAATTGTGACCATGCCCCCAATAGTTGTTACATTTTCCGTATATATTTTTATTATCCTCCTCAGTTAAGTTTTCACTGTAAAAAGAAATTCTTGTTTATTTCACAGAATTTTGTATAGCGATAAAATATACAATACTTGTGTAAACGGTGACAGCTGGATATTACTTCTTTTCTTGTTAAATAAGCGACTGGGCGAGCCATTACATATGTCAAGCGAAAATATGAGATTCTATGTGTTAAAGTGTTACGAATGCTTAAAAAAATAATTGTGCAAGAAGTACACGATAATAAAAAAAATTATTCAAGGATAATAAACATTTTTTAGTTAGATGACACTCTTTGCAAAATATCTAATTGTTTATTATTTTGAATATCAAATATGTATAGTTAAATTTTTGTCATGTATTTAATTGTCCTTTTACATAAAAAGGAGTTCCATTTAATCTTAATTCGAACACCAGGAGGAGACGCGAACGGAAACACCTTATCTGTCAATGTAAACGACAGAAGTAGATAACAACTTGCTCAGAAGAAGATACCATTAAGCCAATCGCAATACACAATTGTATATTGGACTTAAGAATATGGGACAGGAGTTTGGGCCATCAGCTTGCTCAGTGTGTGGTATAAGTGATTTTATACTGAAGAAAAGTTTTGTAATTTATAAAATTTAATTCTTAAAAAAAAAAACAGTAAATATTTATCGTTTTAATGTGAGTTCAACTTTGATTTTATGACAATCGTTGTTGCTTCCAAAACGTCATGCCGGTAACGCCCCAGACCTTATAACAATTAGTCATTTCGCGGAATGTGTAATGTATAATACAATCTAATATAAGGAACACGGAATCAATTTAAATAATAACATTCTATAAAAAAATGGATAGCAAAGGCAGGAAGATCATTGTTTGTGATAATGGAACAGGGGTAAGGTTATGGTTTTACCCTTACTTCCTAATGCTCTTTTGTATCTTTTAAACATATTTTACATACTTTCTTCTGTTGATATCAACATTTGTTAAGATAACATTGTGCAATTTAATTATTGTGCACATATTATTTTTGCAGTTTGTAAAGTGTGGATATGCAGGAGCAAATTTTCCAGCACACATATTTCCATCCATAGTAGGACGTCCTATCATTAGAGCTGTCAATAAAATAGGAGACATTGATGTGAAGGTATATTTCTCAATTTCTCAAGTACAATAAATAAATCTGACTACCTGTCACAATTTCAGTTCATTAATCAAATGTCAGTTCTTATAATTTGTGGACAAAATTTGTTTCTTTATATTTAATGTATGTTGTTTGTGTTTTACAAGAGTATACTACATATTCATTCTGAATGAAATAAATGTTTCTTCTTGTATATACTGTAAGAAATGTTAAAAATTGAATTAAACTTTGATCTTTCCATTTTAAAATTGAAATTCATAATCAATAATTTCCAAACAGTTTATTAACAAATTTACTTAATTTTCAGCAAGAATATTGTATTCGTGTAAGTCACTTCATAATATTACACTGTGTGCCCCAGAGTTTAAATATGATTGAAAATGCATTTGTTATTTATTAACCCTTTTTACTAACAAATATCAAAATGGACTATATATATTAAAAGTAAGATCGTATTTTTTAAATTATTGAAATATATAACACCTTTGATAAAAGTTTAATTATTATCTGATGGAGTTTGAATATCATCTTTTTTATTTCAATGACTTGTAATAAGAAAACGAATAGTTATTTTGTCTATATTGTTATT